AAATTTACCCATTGGAAACAGGGAAAGCGAGCATCATGAGACCAGCCAGCTTTGAGCAACTCAGCAAGTGCTCTGTAGTCCACTGCCAACCCTTTCTCTCCATCACTCGTGTCTTGTCTTTTAAAGGGTAAGTTCTTTGGGGCAGGTAGGGACTGGCTTTTATGATGTTTCCAGGCAGTACTTAGCACAAAGAGACCTTGATCTTAGTTTGTTGGGCACTCGAGGTGCGACTTGTCATGTTCTTCTGTACCAGAAGTGGGCTGGTCACAGAGCTTGCTTATACGCACAAGATGTGTTCATCATACGATCCTTTAATGCTCTGTTGATTGTTCTGTCTGAGGAACAAACTGTAGATGTCGATGGTTTCTGTTGAGCTTTCCATTGTTGGTCTCTATCACATATGATCTGCGCACTGAGATCTTTTTCTTTATGACTGCTGGAGTTGTCAACCCTTTTTCTTCCATCCTGTCGGATACGAACATGGTCACCAGGTTCTAGACCCAGCAGTTTTCTAACTGGATGTCCTCTGTTGCAAAAGTGTTTGTAGCCTGTTTTTGCCTTTGTATGTTATTTGGCTACTCTCTTCATGTCTGGCCACTTTGGAGATGGAATTACTGTTCCAACTTTGGAAAAGCATCTGAGTTGTCTTCCCATCAGGAGTTGTGCTGGACTATATCCAGTAGCTGCTACTGGTGTTGATCTAACTCAGAAGAGCAAGGAATGGATCTTCCCCCTGCAGGATTTTCTTGGCTGTCTATACAGCTCTCTCTGCCTATCCATTCACTTGTGGGTAATGTGGGCTGCTAGTAATATGACCAAAACCATATTTCATTCAGAATTACTTAAATTTTGCTGCAATAAGTTGTGGGTTGTTGTCAGTCACTAATTGTTCTGGAATATGGAAGTGAGCAAAAGTGCACTTCAGTGCCTCAATAACACTATGACATGTTATGTCTTTCAAGTACACTATTTCTATATACCTGGAAAAATAGTTCACGACAACCAGGTAATGATGTCCTCTGAATTTGCATAAATCTGCAGCTAGTCTCTTCCAAAGTCTGTCTGGTAGGGGGTTTGTGTATTGTATGGTTCAGCATGGTCTCTTAAGTTGATTTGTATTGGATCTCCTTTCAGAAGTCCAGTATCATCAAATCCTCCAAAGGTTCTTCCACCTTTCTCACTAGGCCCATTATGGTGTCCACACTGTGCTGAGAAGGTTGTTGGTCTTTGATCCTTTGATCACATGCACTCTGAATGCATAGCTTTTGTGTTTGTAAGTTGTGGAAACTTTTTAAAGACACCATAATAGAGGTTCACCTTAAATGTATGCCCCAAATTAAAAAACATAGTAAGAGAACCAAAGAAGAGCCACCGTGGTGAAACAATGAAGTAAAAGAAGCAGTGAGAGGAAAAAAAGCATCCTTTAAAAAGTGGAAGTTAAATCCTAGTGAGGAAAATAGAAAGGAGCACAAACACTGGCAAATGAAGTATAAAAATACAATTAGGAAGGCCAAAAAAGAATTTGAGGAATAGTTAGCCAAAGACTCAACAAGTAATAGCGATTTTTTTTTAAGTACATCAGAAGCAGGAAGCCTGCTAAACAACCAGTGAGGCCACTGGACGATCAAGGTGCTAAAGGAGTACTCAAGGATGATAAGGCCATTCTGGAGAAACTAAATGAATTCTTTGCATTGGTCTTCATGGCTGAGGACGTGAGGGAGATTCCCAAACCTGAGCCACTCTTTTTAGGTGTCAGATCTGGGGAACTGTCCCAGACTGTGGTATCATTAGAGGTGGTTCTGGAACAAATTGATAAATTAAACAGCAATAAGTCACCAGGACCAGATGGGATTCACCCAAGAGTTAAATCAGCTTCTGTACCAGATGACTGGAGGATAGCTAATGTGACGCCAATTTTTTAAAAGGGTGATCCAGAGGTGATCCTGGCAATTACAGGCCTGTAAACCTGACTTCAGTACCAGGCAAACTGGTTGAAACTATAATAAAGAACAATATTGTCAGACATATAGATGAACATAATTTGTTGAGGAAGAGTCAACATGATTTTAGTAAAGGGAAATCATGCTTCACCAATCTACTAGAATTCTTTGAGGGCGGTCAACAGGCATTTAAAGTCAGTAGTCTTTTCATGAATATTAAATTTCACTCTCCAGGAAGGCTCTATGTCATCACAAATGATAGACCCCAGAAACAATGGCTCTTGATTGCCTGTAATACAAGGCAGCTCCCTGGATGCTTTGGTGCAGCAAAGAGCTGCACCGTGTCCATAGTTCATGCATTTATTACACTGTGTGCCTCTAGCCAGACATGCATCATCTCTTACAATATGATTTTTTTCTATACTTTGTGCATGTAGGCTGGACTTTGTACCTTTTAGCCTAGGAGCTCTCTCTCCTTGCCTCTGGGGTTTTATGGTAATGACTTTTAACCCTCAGGTATCCATTTACAGTTTCTAAGCTAGTTTCTGGTTTTTCGAGTCTGTCAAGTTGCTCTTGGTTTTGCTGTTTCAACAGCTCAGACTGCTTTGCTCTCCAGATAGCTGTGGCCAGGGTTAAGTCTCTCTTCGATTACAGCTGCCATGAAATTTGCCATTTGATAGCTGCTTTCAACTACCATTTGATAGCTGCTTTCAACTACCTGAAAGGGGGTTCCAAAGAGGATGGCTCTAGACTGTTCTCAGTGGTAGCAGATGACAAAACGAGGAGTAATGGTCTCAAGTTGCAGTGGGGGAGGTTTAGATTGGATATTAGGAAAAACTTTTTCACTAAGAGGGTGGTGAAACACTGGAATGCGTTACCTGGGGAGGTGGTAGAATCTCCTTCCTTAGAGGTTTTTAAGGTCAGGCTTGACAAAGCCCTGGCTGGGATGATTTAACTGGGAATTGGTCCTGCTTCGAGCAGGGGGTTGGACTAGATGACCTTCTGGGGTCCCTTCCAACCCTTATATTCTATGATTCTATGAAAGGGGGTTATCTGTTAACCCCAGTAACCAGCCTGTCTGATATTTGGGGGGGGGGGGGGGGTTTGCATTCCCCCAAATCAGTTTTCAGCCAATGTATGCAGCACTCTTATAAAACATTCAACATTTTCCCCTGGTTCTTGAAGTCTGTGGTGGAAACATCCTCTGCCATAAACCACATTCTTCTGCATTATAAAGTATGCATCGAACATAGCAAGAACCCTTTCACAGTCATCTTTGTGACTGTCTTCAGTACAGTCAAATGTTCTAAAGGTATGCTCTGCCTGCTTTCCCATAGCATAAATTAAAGATACCTGTATATCTGCAGTTTCTTTGTGGAGCTTTGTAGCAATGTGAAATCTTGCAAAATCCTATTTTCAGTCTGTCCATTCTAAAGGTTTGTCAAAGCTCACATTCTCTGGGGCATTGAAGAGCGTCAACCTGATTAGATCTTGCAATCTTTGTTGCTTTGTCCCTTCTGTTATTAGTTTACTTCTGACACCATGTAATGTTCTTCCATCAAATATCCACATATCAGAATATTGTCCATGAAAACCACAACTCCATTTGTGTTCTTTAACAATTCTGCCATCTTTTGGGGGAAAATTTCAGGTGCACTGGTAATCCCAAAAGGTAATCATCAAAGCAGAATCTCCCCAAAGGTATGATAAATGTAGTCAATTTAACGTTTTCTTTGGCTAAAGGAATTGCCAGAATCTGTTCGAGACATCCAGTTTGGAGAATACTGTAGCTCCTTTCACTTTGTGGAGGAAGTCATCCAGTGTTGGGAGGATACATTTTTCTCACAACTACTTCATTAAGTCTGTTAAGATCTGCACAGATTCGTACTTTTCCATTCTTCTTTATATCTGGTACCATTAGGGCACACCATGATGTTGGCTCAGAGTGTTTCTCAGTTATGCCCATCCTCTCCATTCTCTAACTCAGTTTCCACTTTATGAAGTAATGGGATAGGAATACTGTGAGGTGTATGTACATTATATGGTTCACTACTGTCACACAAATAAATAAAACCATAGGTCACCATTTATGAACCTTTGTTCTAATATCAGCTAAGTAATAAATCAGCATGCTCATACAATGCCCACACTAATACATTCCCTGTTCTAGACAGTTAACTTGGAAGACTGAGGAAAAACCTGGTTAAAGTGTCACAAGGTAAGTTTCAAAGCTCATGTTTGGCCACTGTTTGTAACAGACCTTCAGTGTTTTCAATGGCCCCACAAAGACTCCCCTGCACAGAACTCCTAGAGCCTGCAGTGGGAGGTGCCTGCATTTGATGGGCTTACAAGGACCAAACAATTTGGAAGAGAAAAGTAGTGAGATAGGTGCCTGAAAGTGAGTACACAAGAGTGACACACACAAGTGGATAGAAAGCCAGTTTTCAGCTGCGTGTAAAGATTATTGCTATATCGGACTCAAAGCAGAGGAGAGTAGTCTAGTCAAGTCTATTCAAATTCTTATACTGCCCTCATGAATTCACTGGGACTAAGCAAAGCTTAAAGCTAAGCGCCCTTCCTGAATAGAAACGCTTCCCTGAACGGGGCCTCAGTTCCTGCTGGGCCTACCTTGAGCCTGTGGTTTAATTACCATAAGCTTTTTCTTCACTGCTAAAGAGGGTACGTTACCTCAGGGTAACAAATGTACTTGCGCTATCCTGAGGGATAAAACACAGTGAAAGCACGGGACTTTGGTTTTACTGTGAGGCTTTACTCAAGTGAGAGTTTAGAGCTGACCTCATCTGGTTCACCTCACAGTAAAACTGAAGTCCCTTGCCTTCATTGTGTTTTTACCTCAGGATAGCTCATGTGGATTAGTTATCCTGAGGTAACACCTTTGTTAGCAGTGAAGACACAACCTTTAAAAAGTTACTAACTCTACCCTAGCACATATTAGTGACCGCATTATTCCCCTGGTAGCAGCATAAATAATGTGTGCAACTCCACTGCAACTCTGAACATCCATCTACATTCCTAAAGAGACTCCCCGAGGAGCCTTACCTCCACACTCCTGAGCATCATGCCAACTTCATTGTAGGACTGGAGGGGTCTCCAGCCATCTCACTTGTGATTCTAATTGCTCTGACAAGCTGTGGAAGTACACATGGTTTAATGTGTAACCCTATTAAATAATCATTCACTGTCTGTGCTTTTGATGCCCAGGATCTGTTGAAGTTTCACATAGAAAAAACAACTCAGTTGGCTTTTGAGAAATGAGCAACTCAGGTGCTTTTACAAATGCAGCAGGACTTCATGCATATCAGACTTCACATGTCTAAAACTGTATGTGTTGCTGATATTGGCTGACTGTAACATATTATGGAGCTTGTTTGTGTTGGTTGTGTTTCGAAGCTGCGAATTCAAATCCTTCCTTTTCCTGACGGGGTCGAAATTCAAGTTCAAGACATGAAGCAGTGGTTGAGAATGCTCAGTCCCCGTATATTGGTGAAATAATGACAATGAGAATAAATGAGTGAGGATACGATTATTCTGCCATCTGTCCACACAAAGTAATATTTAAGCAATAGACTATGAGATATTGCATTCTGCACTTGAGATGCCCAGTCTGATAAACTGCAGATTGACTTCAGTGGGAGCAGGAAGATGATCATCATGAGACCCTGCCCCAAGGCCAAGTGACAAAACATCCAAGAACTGATCCCCCCCCGCCATCCACCCCAAACCGCTGGAAAAAAAATTCACCTAAGAAGCCATATACAGTAGGGGTGGTCAAAAATTCTGTCAAAACGTTCCCCCCTCCCAATGCAAAATTGGGTTTTTGACAAAATGAAAATTTGTAATAGAAAGTGCTTTTCCTCTGAGTTTTTTTTATTTTGTTGTTAAGCTGAAAATCCCCCCTCCCCCCCAAAAAACAAAAATAAGTATCCTTTATAGGCAGTTATCTGCTGAAATTTTTCAGTTTGGTCCCCACTCCCCCCACAACAAAAAGTCAACATTTTCTGCTGAAAAATTGACAAAGAAGGAATTTTTCTGTTTTCATCAAAGTTTTCCACAGGGGGAAAAAACCCCATTTTCTGACCAGCTCCAACTCTCGGAAATGCATGAACAAGCTACAAATTACTCACCATTGGCCTGATTCTGCAAGTGGCTAGCCACATACTCAGTTGTATGCCCACGAGTAGTGCTATTAATTTTAATGGGATGGTTCCTGTGCATAAAACCAAGCGAGTACATAACCGTTTCCAGGATTTGAGCCTACAATGGCAAAATCCCTACTCTATCGATGAATGCTTGGAATTAATTTTGTACCCTGTCATTCATGTTTACCACCAGAATTTGCTGTCCCCTCACAGCCAGAGGTCTCAGGACACAGATCTCATTTGTCAAGTGCTAGGCTGCCAATAAAAGTTTAATTGCCAGTACACGTGTTGGTACGCTGGCTGTATTCAAACATATTGTCCGATGGAGGCGGATGTTGTGAGGGGTGAGATGGTGGTGTAAATCCAAGCACAACTGCTCTCTGTGAAAGTACACTTCAGTATGCTTGTTTATTTATCAGTGTTATCATCGTACATGTTCTGTACTATCCCATTATTATTTCTGTATCCTCAAGATTTTCTTATTTACCTTATTGTGTTTTCCCAATCAAATGGTATAGGGTACATATCTAATAGCACTGGTTAAGTACCACAAAATAGATTTTATTATTTAATACTGGCAATATGAACTGGATTACATTAATAGTCAATTCAAGAAACATTTAAATCATCTGTAGAGAGGGCCAATTTTTTTTAAAAAAAATCAATGAATAATATATTCAACAAAAAGTCCTATTGACTGTTTGAACAACATGCTCAGTAAGTATTATTCAACCAGCTCTAATACAGAGTATTAAAAACTGCATTGTTGTTTCTTTTGTGTTATAAGTATAATAAAGAGAATGAAAGCTAAGCTTCAATTATCCTTTGAAAGTTTTCTTTATTAAATTAATTAAGACTGCTGCTATTTCACTTGATTGCCATATTTCTGGTGTCACAAATAAGAGTTTTATCTTAAGAACAGAGTGAAAACTGAATAAATGCATGAGATTTAGCCAAATGAGAATACAAAGCCGGATCCAAAGCCCATTGAAGTCAATGGAAAGACTCCAATGTGCTTTGGATCAGGTCCATAAATGGGGCAGACATTATCTAAGTATTCATATAGCACTCGTCACAGAGGTATTTGAGTGACTTACAGAAAGAAAAACAATTCTAGATGAGGATTCCCTTCCTTCTCCCAAAAGCAAGATTACCAAATAGGAATAATAAAGGGGGGAAAGATGGTCAGGTTGGTGCATTTACAAGGCCATGGCAGTGGAATAGACTGGGACCCAATCATTTGTATCCAACATTCTAATGATATTTCATAACTGTAATTAAAATTCATTTAAAGGAACATGGACAGCACTGCTTACCTAAAGTGGTAAGTATGGTGTCTTTTCTTAAGCTGTGATGATATGTTATTAAAGTGTCAAATTCCAACTTATGCAACAGTAATTATATAAACATAGTTACAGGCTCCAGGGGGGCTGCAGAAACCAAATCCAACAAAAAGACTGTTCTCAAACAGTGAAAAGGAGTAGGCCTCTTCTTAGAGGCTGGCAACATATAGATCTAAAAGGGTGGAGATGACAATCCTTTCTCTTTAAAAAGAAAGAAACCATCTAACTTCAAGCAAGAATTAATTATTAACAAGTGGAAATCACCACTTCAGCATTTTATTCAGCTCAACATTGTACAGAAGAAAGCAGGCTCCCACGCTGATCAAACATCAGCATGGTTATTTTTTCCTATTTGAGCCCATCCATAAATGTTCAGAAACACTGAGGCACTTCCCACCATTACTGCTCTGCTGAAGCAATTGTTCAGATGTGTATTTTCCAGAGTGGTGGGACAGAGGCAACTGGGTTAAGAAAGTCTGTAATCAAGAAGGGATTAGCTAATCCACTACTTCAGGTTTGCAGTTGCTGGCAAACTCATGGACGCTCTAGAGAAGGGACAAGATGGATTGCAGTACCCTGCTGAAAGCCAACTCCTGATGAAGGCTATATGATGAATACGTATCAATGATGGTATGGATACAGAGAACATCTAGTTTCATTATGCACGGACAGTCATTTGCTATATGTTGTATAGTGCTTAGAATCATGACCCCTTGACCTGGAAGACCTCCTCTAGGCACTACTGCCATACAGAAAAAATTATACAATTAAAAAATGATAACGATATAAACTTTCATGCTTCAGGACACAAGCAACCCCACTAACTGCCTGGGCAGGGAAGAAATATCTCCCATAAGCAGGTCATTCCATGATTGTTCTTTGTGGGTTTCTTAGACCCTCCTCTGGAGCATCTAGCACTTTATTGGAAGAGTCGGGACACCAGACTAGATGGACAGTCTGATCTGCACTGTCAATTCCTATGATCCTATGTAGGGAGGCAACATGGATTATTCATATTTGCTGCAAAGCAGAACACTCCATGAAAACTACTTGGTATCTCTAAGAGAAAGGACCTTTATGACTATCATCCCCATCATACATTATATACTGTATAGCCATTTACATATATCTCTTTGCCATAGTTCATATGTGGCTGTAATTGTTAAAAATGAGAAGCTATTAAAATTAAAGTCTATTATAATGGAGTTTTGTGTCAGTGGGAAGTCACAGGGAGTCTTCACCAGACTCTTCAGCAGTTGAGTAGAGAGAGGCCTTATGGGAAATGTTGATTGTCTCAGTCCAATTCCTAGACCAAGGATGCCGTCCTATCACAACGCATGCAGCTGCATGCAAGTCAATTGCCCTATTTATTGTAGGGTACTAATACATTCTGAGTTAAGACTTTCTCGGCATCCCCTAGTTTGCCACATTGGGCCTCTAGGGCAAAATTTACAGAGGTCTTGGAGACATATCAGAGCGAGGTTACATATTAAATTCTTCCCGTCTGGAACAAGGGCGCTGAATTACAAATAGTGGGGGAGCCTTAACTCAAATGACTGGCCTTGGAGCTCTAGGCAACAGGGTAACAAGAAGCAGTGTAGCCCAGTGGGTCAGGTACTAGCCTAGGAGTCAGAAGACCGTGGTTCTACTCCTGGCTCTCTGGGTGACCTTGGGCAACTTATTTTCTCTCCATGCCTGGACTTAGATTGTGAGCTCTTTGGGCAAGAACTGCCTCTTACACTCTGTCTGTACAGAATGGAGTACTATGGGGCCTCTAGGTGCTAGTTATTATCAAACCAATAACTAACCCATTTGAGCAGTTTGGGTTTAATAACTTCTTAAAACAGCTGTTAAAAAGGGCTCTTGAAAAATCATTCTGCATCTTGTACTGGAGCTGTCTGGCTATTGTTGATTCCCCAGTCACACCACATAAACGAGGAGGGGGAAGGAGTTCAGGCTGCAGTACACAACTAGATGGTTCAGAGCGGGTTTCACGGCTCTAAACTAAACCTGTCTTTAAAAAGGAAAATGGCACTTCAGTTCTAGAGGTTGGAGCTGCAACATTTAAAGGTACATCTATACTGCAGATAGCCTGCCTCGTAGGTAGTGCAGCCGGTGAGGTACAGCTTAGGGTAAGCAGGGTAAAGACACGCCTGAAGGATGTGGAGATGTACGTACTCTCCACTCGCCCAAGCTGCCCTTCCCATCTGGACTGATATTTTTAGCAGTGCAGCATCCCACGGCTGGAGCCTTTCCCCTCCACGGGAGAAGACTCCAGCGGTGTCATGCTGCTGATGCCTTTTGCTGCAGCCCGTACTCCACACAACGACATAGACATGGCTTAAGTACGCTGAACATTTTAACACTGCGCAGAACTACAATAGTTTTAAGTTGTTTTATTCTGTCTTAGTGCAACCCTCTCTCCCCCTTGTGGTATGTTGAAAGAGGTTAAAATAGTGATTTATCACTTTAAATTCTCAAGGGTTTTACCTGCTCCTGGTTGCATGCAAAAGCTCGGTTGGGTGATATGCAATGCATGCAAAGTTTCAGAGGAACAGCCGTGTTAGTCTGTATTCGCAAAAAGAAAAGGAGGACTTGTGGCACCTTAGAGACTAACCAATTTATTT